TCTTTTTGTGTGAGCTGGATATCCGTGTAACGCTAAGACGAACGATTAAAACTCTATCACCATGTATATTCTAGCCCGCAACAAGACCTAACTCGCCTTTCAAATGAGAGACTTTGCCTATTTTTAAATTCTTTCAGCGTCATGCTTAATCTCATAGCTAAATTGTTAATTATGCTTACTTCGAAAATTTGCCCACATCATTCGTCCATTTGAAGTTCAGGCGAACGTCCAACTGAATGACAATGGAAACACTCATTTTGCATTTTATCTCAGTTGTGAACATTGCCATGCTAATATTGGAGTTCGGTTGGAGATTAAATATACACATAATATTAGTATTTAGCCCGATTTTATATTATTTCAGTTTTACTATTTTGCCTTTTAAGGTTGTTTTAGTTTAAATAGACGTGACTTGTATTTATTTCAAATATGGTAAATTGAATAAGATTTAGTTCTGTTTTTCCCTTCCAAGAAAATCATGTGAGCTCTCTCTCCCTCTTCCATCCTTCTCTCTCTCTCTCTCTCTCTCTCTCTCTCTCTCTCTAAAAATAAATAGCAATATATACAAAATCTGTATTAGCAAAAAAAATGTATTTCTCAGATACACAGCTGTGTAAAAGCTCAAAAAGCTTTAATTAAAATGAATAAATAAAATATTGTGCATTCATATAAGCTTGAAAGCATAACATTACACAATAATACATAACAATATGCAGTGCATATTAGCAAAAAAATCGTATTTTTCAATATAATTTCTCTGATACATAATTTTGTAAAGCTCAAAAAGCTTTCAAATAAGCAAATAAAATATTGTGTATTCATACAAACTTGAATATATAGCAATACACACAAATTACATGGTAATACAAAGTGCGTATTGGTAAAAATATCTCATTTTTTAGCATTTTCTCTAATATATAGTTGCGTAAAAGCACAAAAAGCTTTCAAATGAACAAATAAAATAGTGCTTATATAAGCTTGAATACATAGCAATACACAGTGTATATTAGTAAAATAATTTGTATTTTCTAATATAATTTCTCTAATACACAGCTGTATAATAGCTCAAAAAGTTTTTAAATAAACATATAAAAAATTGTGTATTCATATAACTTGAATACATAATAATATGCATTAATACATAGCAATACACAGTTTGTATTAGCTAAAAAAATTACCTAGCTGTAAAAATGATTATAAAAAAACAACATCTTCCAAAAAAGATTTCCCTTATACACATCTATGTATTAGACATATGACAGAATAAATGAGCTTCAAAAAATTATTATTTTACATAAAATTTTACATAGCTGATTTACAAAAGCACGTGTTTTCGTGGCATTTGAAATAATTTTTTTTTAAGAATACATTTTAAGTTAATGTGTGTGAAACATAACAAAAAACACATAAATTATTACTGCCCGGTTTATAAATTTTTCATTGAAGCATTGGGGGTTGTTTGAGAACTTAATCTACCTTAAAGGTGAACACAATTATGTTGTATTTGCCTTTACGGCAGATTTCTCTATTGAAAAGTTAAGCTCAGCAAAATGCATATTGTCTCATAATATATATTGAAAAGCAATTATTAGATAAGTAAATTACATCTAATTCTTAAGGTTTTTTTTTTTATTATTGGTCCTTTAGAGAATATGACGTCCTCCAAACACAAATTTTCATCTTTATCGTCTATTTCTCGTTTCTCTTTCTCAATAGGTACTAAAAGTTTTATTCTGAAAAAATCCTACATATTTGATAGCTTTCATGAGTTTTTAAAAATATGAAACAAGTAGGCTGCCACAATTTCAAAATTTTCACGGCCGGCTTTGTTGGGTCATAAGAAAAAAAATTCATTTTTTTTTAATTTAATTGGAGTCCAGACGAAAATTCATACCCAAACCTTGCACGTAATAATTTCTCCATCATCAAACACCAGCCCACCTATACTCTCAGGAATTTGATCAAATTAATTTAGCATCATCGCTAACTCTAGTCTCACTGTACTCGAGTCAATGTAATTATTATGTTAGGTGAAGCACTGCAGTGCCCACCCTTTATAATGCCATGATGCTCGAAATTTTGGGTCTAGTTATTGTTAACTTCACTGTAAAAACTATATAAAAACTCATACTCTTATATGATATTGGCTTAAGATATAAGAGGGCTCAAAAGCTTGAAAAATCTAAAAGCCCCACTAGATCACTATCATCAAAATATTACCATATGAGCATCATATACAATCCTCCTATCATCATCGTTTGAGTACAGCACTTTAAGCACCACCTTTTAAATATATTAATCAAACCACCTTTGTCTGAATAGGTACATTGACTTCCATCGTCTAATTCCATCGTCTAATTATGTGCTTTTGACTACTGTCGCCCGACTATAATTATCCCAACATAATTGTGAAACTATGGTCCTCCAATCATCTTTACTCACCTATGATCATTTGACCACCATCGCTTGAATATTGTGAAAGTACCCGACCCGCTTCAAATCTGGGTCAACCTGACACTACCCGCCAACCCGTCGTTGTCTTCAAGAGGGAGAGGCGGCAGTGTCGGCTTCAGGTGGTGGCAAACCCTTCAGGAGTAGGGAGAGGGAGAGGCGGATGTGTCAGGAGCAAGAAGAGGCAGCTGTGGCGTCAGGCACAAGGAGAGGTAGAAGCAGCGGTGCTGGCTTCAGGTGGTGGGAGAGGGATAGGCGGCGAGGAAGATAAGGCTAGGGTTTTGACTTCAGATAGACCGCCGGCTACAAGAGTGCAACCTGCAGGAGTTTGCCAGTTCGGGTTGAATCACGAGTTCACAACTACGACGGAAGTGTTGAATCGTGACTACGGGACAGCGGGACTTCGAACCGACCTTAAAAGTTTTTCGTTTATTGTTTACAAAGGGTCATTTTTGAATTTCCTGATCAATCCAAACCCAACCCGTTTTT